TTATGAAGCCTGTAATGCGGTAAAGCTCTATTTAGAGCGAAACCGTTGTTACTGTTAAAGCTTCCTCTTCAACAGTTGTTTCTTCGTCACAAACTGATGAATCACTGGGCAAGAGACTGATGAATATCACAGACTCATATTGTTCAACATTTTCCTAACCCGTGGTGGCCGTCTCTCATGTTTTATTCTCTTTGTGTGCCAATACTCGTTTTCTTATTATCTTTTAAAGTAGAATAAAAACGCACAATACCGTGACTGGAACAATACACAAGTAACCCGCACATAGACGACTAAAACTTATGCCGACGTTTCGGTCCGACTTGGACCATTAACTAGACTAGTTAATGGTACAAGTCGGACCGAACGGCGACACAACTTTCAGTCTCCTATATGAGAGTTTTCTGTGTATTTTTTCAAGTACTTTAGTCAGCAAGATAGTCAGCGTAGGTTTTAATATTAGCATAATATATTTTTTTTTATATTTTGTATACTGATGTCATATTTGTAGTTTTGCAAGTGTCCAGCAAGTGCCTCTTTTATACTAGAAGTTGTGGAAGTATTGTAGTTCCTCTGCTGCCTCTCGCAGAGCCCAAGGTGGTATTTTGTCCTGTCATATTACTTTCACCATATCTAATTTCCTCAAAAAAAATGTTTCCTGAACGAATGCAACATCCATAGTGATAATAGAGGGAAGATTATTAAAAAAAATATGAAAAAAATACGAAATGGAAGATGAGAATGAAAGTGAAGAGGAGAAGATAAGTAAAACTAAAATAATAAAACAAAAAATAGCGAATAAGACGAAGATGAATATAAAATCATTACTGACATGACCATTAAGACCTCCTGCTGAGAGGAACTAACATGACAATTAATTTCTTTTATGTCAGTAACGATTAACAAAATCCTCTGGGAAAAAAAAAATGTTTCGACAGTAACCAAATTCCTAAATGCCCTCCCCCTTCACCCCACTATTTAACTGACAAATATTTTCCCTTTTCTTGGTAAAGGGTTCTCTATCCAGTCTTTCAAATCCGTCTTAATTCTTGCAATAAATCTGATTACTTTCCATTCCCCAGTTAAATATGGTTAGTTATAATAAATAATGAAAGACCAAACAGACCTTTGTGGATCTCAGTCCAATATGCAGAGTTTTGGGAATGACTTACGGCCTCTACTTGTAGCCTTATCAGAAGGCCATCGAGGGCCACACAAGATCACAACAGACGAATGAATAACAGGAAAAGGCGGAGCCATAGTAAGGTAAACGCTCCTACACAGCCATGTGTGAAGAGTAAGATCGGCCTCGGTGTCCGTAAGAGGAATCTCCGAATTTTCTTCTGGTCGTCTCCTCGTAGTCTCCTAGTCGTCTCCTGGAGAGGTGAGTCGCATAGAACATCCTTCAAAAACATATATACCCGAATATTATCCTAGTGTTAGAAGAGGTCACAAGGAACCTTGTATATCATATATACCTAAACGTTATTTCCTGGTTTTTGTAAGGGCACCCAGAAGCCCTGACATACACATGCAGTAACATACATACACACTCATACACAAGTCAACATACACAGGAAAACGACCAAGTGAGCATCACTACAACAAGTGAGTCCTCTACTGCGTATTTCATTTAGGATGAAACAAAAACATTGACTTTGCATGACTTGTGAATATGCTTACTTGAATGACATATTATAGAGAGATCTTTACATAACCAGGCAAGCAGACACAACCTGGGATTGATAAAAAAAACTGGTGGGAGCAACGTTTCCCATCAAGTCTCTTATGTGAAAATAACCTGTAGTTATATGACAGAGCGCTCGGACCACAATTGGAAAGACCGAGGTTTGACTCCTGGGCTGGGCGAGATGTATGGGCAAGTTTCCTCACACCTGCTACTCCTGTTCACTTAACAGGAAGTAGATACCTGCGTGTCAATTGTCTATTGTGGGTATGATCCTAGATAGTAGCAATATATTCTAGATAGGTCTGAGCTGTTGTGTGAATATTGCTAGAAGATAGCATGTCCTGAGAGATAGAGATAGAGAGAGAGAGAGAGAGAGAGGAGAGAGAGAGAGAGAGAGAGAGAGAGAGAGAGAGAGACAGACAGACAGACAGACAGACAGAGACAGAGAGAGTGAGACAGAGACGAGTCTTGGAATGCTTCCAAATTCGAGAATTTATACGAATTTATGCTAGGGTAATTATGTTTAGTGAGGCATACCAGCTGATTTTTGTGTGTGTGTGTGTGTGTGTGTGTGTGTGTGTGTGTGGGAGGCCTGCAGATGGAGGCTAAAAATCATTATCTCACCTCACAAGTGCCTGAGAGAACACCTGCAGCTCCTGATAACCAGATACCATGGGTATGAGTGAGAGTACATAGGTATTAATGGAAGGAGTAAGACACGAGTGGCGGATGTAGCATTAACACAGTGTAGGGTGTTAGGATATATATATATATTATATATATAATATATATATATATATATATATAATATATATATATATATATATATATATAATATATATATATATCATAGAAATCAAAAACCACAGGGCGACCAGCTTCCTCTTTCAGAGACTCAGTGTCGCGATCCAGAGAGGAAATGCCTGCAGCATTCTGGGCACGCGGCCCACCGCCGGGAGCTAGACGAAGTATTCTAGATGTAGCTCTGAGTTGTTATGTACGTTGTTTTACTTTCTATTGTATTTTTGTGAATATGTTGTCAATGTACATTGTCTTTAAATAATATATATATTAAATATATCGGGTGGTAGGAGAAAATTCTCAAACAGCTTCAGGGAGAACCTTGAGTTTTCCCTGAAGCAAGTTTATTCTTTTCTCTGAGGATGAGGGTCCCCAGGACAGCTCTTAGGTGGTACCTCCCTATATATATATATAATATATATATATATATATATATATATATATATATATATATATATATATATATATATATTATATATATATATATATATATATACATATATATATATATATATATATATATATATATATATATATATATATATATATATATAATATATATATATATATATATATATATATGTATATATATACAATATAGGGAAGTACCACCTCTATAGCTGGAATGGGGACCCTCATCCTCAGAGAAGACAATAAACGTACCTCAGAGAAAACTCAAGGTTCTCCCCGGAGCTGTTTGAATATTTTCTTCTCCTACCATATATATATATATATATATAATATATATTATATATATATATATATATATATATATATATATATATATATTATATATATAATATATATATATATATATATATGTATATATATACATGTTTAACAATTCATAAACAGACAAAATAATTACTTACAAACGTTATCTCTCGGTCCAGTACACGATAATTCGAACCTACAAGCTCGGCATCAGAGTAAACAGAACGTTATTTACGGAGTAAGTGAAAAAATAGCAATATTTCCATCGCTTTCGTGTTTTTTCACATTATCAAGGAAAATTAAAAATAATAAGACAACAAAAGAGCTGAGACATGACCTGAGATGTGACTTGTGCCTGCACATGTGACCTGTGCCTGCGCATGTGACCTGTACTTGCACATGTGACCTGTGCCCGCACATGTGACCTGTACTTGCACATGTGACCTGTGCCTGCACATGTAACCTGTGCCTGCACATGTGACTTGTGCTTGCATATGTGACCTGTGCCTGCACCATGTGACCTGTGCTTGCACATGTGACCTGTACCTGCACATGCGACCTCTGCTTGCAAATGTGACCTGTGCTTGCACATGTGACGTGTGTTTGCACCTGTGACCTGTGCTTTCACTAATGTTACATCACCCTCCACTAGTGTTCCATCACCCTTCACTAATGTTACATCACCCTTCACTAGTGTTCCATCACCCTCCACTAGCGTTACATCACCCTCCACTAGTGTTCCATCACCCTCCACTAGTGTTCCAACACCCTCCACTAGTGTTCCATCACACTCCACTAGTGTTCCAACACCCTACACTAGTGTTCCATCACCCTCCACTAGTGTTCCATCACCCTCCACTAGTGTTCCAACACCCTCCACTAGTGTTCCAACACCTTGATGATGCTGTATTCCTCTTGAAACTGCTGAGAGGCTCTTGATGTAAGGAGCTCTAGCTACCCACCTCTTCCTAAGATCAAGCCTGATTATCTCTCTATTCTCCAAGGGCTGTAATAGCCCCTTCTGGTTTAGCTGTTTCTTTCAATGGTAAATAGTTAACCTGATCCGGTTTTAAATTTTTATTCCTTTCTCAGTTTCGTGTCAGTTTTTTTTATTTTATTATAGTGTTCTCCGTTTACGTGGTGTATCGTGCCTACTCTTAAAACTGTGTATGGAATAAGCTTTCTTTATTTTCTTCTCTTTTAGTTACAAAATCTGTGTCTTTGGTTTCCTTTCTCCATAAATTTAATAATAATAATAATAATAATAATAATAATAATAATAATAATAATAATAATAATAATAATAATAATAATAATAATAATTATAATAATAATATCAACAACACCAACAACAACAGCAACAACAACAACAATAATAATATTAATAATAATTATAATAATAATGATATATATTTTTTCTTAATTATGTCAAAAAATTTTTGCTGGCCAGGCAGACAATGAACTTCAGAAAAACTTCAGCCAAGACTTGCATATTATGTGTGTATATCAAATAACCCCTAAGTTGGGGGTGGATTTATAGAGTGAGTAATGCAGAATGGTCCAAGATGGTGCATAGTGGTCCAAGATGGTACAGAATGGTTCAGGATGAAAGCAACATCGTCTGATTGTTTCATATATATATATATAATATATATATATATATATATATATATATATATATATATATATATATATATATATATATATATATATATATATATATATATATATATATATATAAGTAAACAGGGATAGGGTAAAATTTATATAAGACATTTACTTAGTGACTTTTATTCACCAATTAATCCCTTAGTAATAAAAATTATAGGAAATAACACATTGTTAAACAAATGTATAAAGTGCTTAGAAAAGTGTTACCGGTACTTGTTCCTCCCAGACTGCCCCTGATCAGCCATGCTGTGGTGTCTAGCACCAACAGCTTCATTGGCCAGGTCTGTTAACCAGGAGGCCTGGTCTGAGACCGGGCCGCGGGGGGGAAGAAGGAGTCAATGACCCCCGGAACCATCAATGTGTGAACAATAAGTAAACAGTCCACTTGTATGACGCAGCATCGTTGTATGCGTAGACGCAACGCTGTTGTATGCATCGATGCAACGAGTGTTAAGTTGGCGCAGCACAACTGTATGTGTCGACGCAACACCGTTGCAATCGTCGACGCAGCCCAGTTGTGTGCGTCAAGTGGCAGTTTGACGCATGTTCATGTTATGGCACGGTCACTTTGACTAGAATAATGAACGCGACAGAGTCCACAAAAGATTCGTGTATGTCACGCGGCTCGATTACATCGGAAACAAACGGCTCGTGTACTCGACGGCCATACGACTCACTCACGCAGAAGTCACACTACTAACGCACGTGAAAGCCACACAACTTACGTACGTAGGAGTCACACTCGCCGCTACTTATGAACCTCTTTTCTCTGTTGTTTGTGCTTGGTCTAAATAATTATGTACCCGGCAATATAGCCGGGTACATAAACTCACATCTCCCATATAGGAGTTCATTAGTTTGAACCTGAAGAGTTAAAATAATGGTCTAAAGTCAGCATTTCTCTCTTTAAAATTCCTCCTTAGGTAGTATATCACTAGCATCTAAGATGGTTTCATCTTAGGTGGTATATTGCCAGCATCTCAGGTGGCACTTTACTGGCATCTTGGGTAACACTGTAGCATCCTATAAGGTAGTGCCGTCTTAAGCGGTACGTCACCAGCATCTTGTGAGATATCTCCTTACTGTGATAACTCAGAATCATTCCAGCAACAAATAAACAAAGTGACTGGAGTCCAAGAGTCTTTGATAAAAAAAAAAAACATTAACACTCGAGTATTAAAATAATATATCTGGCCACATTATTAAAATAATATATCTGGCCACAGAACTGTCAAGAGCCTCATAGCTTAGAATTCCTTGCTTGGAATCCATTCCTAGAGGAAAGCGTCGTTCTTTCCCGATCTAACGAAGCTGGTCTACCAGCAGTACGCAACACTGACCCCTCATCTCTACGTGTCCACAAGATTACCGCCTCTATTTTGTCCAGGTCAGGGGGAGTAATGATACGTTATACACAGTGACCCATACGGAAAGGGTAAACATTTTTCTTTTATCAGCTGCCTTCGAGAAGGTAATCGCAATTTTCTCCTTTCACTTTGCTGCCAGTGCATTTGCATCGAGAAGAGAGCTTTCTTGAGGGACGAGGCAGCAGGAGAAAGTATAACAAGCATGATAACTATCCATTAGAGGAAGAGTGTTATATCATACTTAGCCTACGGTATGCAGTTGTTTTCTTCCACGGTTATATCGTTTAGCCATTATCAGCACACGGCGAACTGAGGGTGGGACTGATCTTGCCAGTAAGTAGGGGGTTCCGCCCCTAGTAGCAGCAAGGCCACTTCGTCAGCCTCGCACATCGGTGACAGGTACGAGAAAGAGTCCAGGTTCTCCTCGAATACTCCCGAATCCGTGGAATCACACAAAAGTGACATCAAATCGGTGTCGGCCCCGGCGTCAATATCCATCATGGAAGATCTGTTTGATGACCGGTGGTAGGCATCCATTTGGGCGTTCTGGAACCTGGAAGCGTCCTCCAGGATGCTGGAAAGGACCCAGGGGCAGGCATCCTGAGGCGCACTGCCATCCAGAATATGCTGGTTGACGGTGCTGTCCAGAATGTCTTGAAGAGACCTGATGTAGGCACACGCATGTTTCAGCGTGGTAATCTTGGTCATCTCCGAGCTGGAGTTCTGGCCATGGTCCCATGCGGGCAGCATCTTTCGCAGTTTATCGAAGGCTGTGTTGATCTGCCGCATGCGGAACCTCTCTCGAGTGTTGGCTGTCTTCCTGCGGTATTTAGACAGAGGGGCAGGACGTGACTTCTGTCTTCTGGTATCCTGCAGAGACCAGTCGCTGTCACAGCTTCGTCTGGAGCGAACTGAGCGGGGACGTAGCAGATACTTCCCGCTACAGCCTCCCGGTGTCTTGTTTCCCTGTCTCTCCATCATCTCGTTGTTATTGTTGTCGTCCACCATGTCCTTTGCTTCCTCCAGACCTCCCACTTGGGCTTCACGTTTTGTCATAGTCAACACTATGTCCATATCTTGAACGCGCACTCAGTTCAACGATATCTCTCACTTTTTGCCCAGAAGTGTGTAACCATCATTCACTCATTTTCTTAGCTGCTTGTATCCCTCACAAATTTTACAAAATGGTGGCGTCGTTTCAGCCTGAAAAAAAAAAGAAAAAATATATATAATAATTAATAGATTTCCAAGAAATAAAGATTCTTGTCAGGAAAAAAACATTAAACACTGTATGACTAAAACGCAAAAAAGTATTTCGATCAACAGAAATCCGAAATCATTACTTGAGGTGAACTCGACCTGGTTGTCACACCTCGTCACATCCTACCTGGCTCTTGGCTGGGACGGAGGGAAGCGCGGCACGTCTGCTCAAACTGGCTGTCTGCGCCCAACTGACCACTTCTCCTACCCAGTTCAACTCATACCCCATTACACTGCCCCAAACCGCACACTACCTGCCAATGTTCAAGCCTATTTTTTTTTTGACTTAGTATCTATTTGCCTACCAAAAAATTACTTGTATATATTAAAAATGCCTGGTTTACTACTCCTCAGGTAAACCCGCTGTATGATTTCCTTATTCAGAATCTCATGGAAATTAAGACAGGATATCGTCTTAGAGACTGACGAAAAAGACAGTGTTCCTGACGAGTTTAACCTTGAGTTGAAATTGGTCATTTTTTTGATGATTAGCAGAGACAGAAAGTAAAATAATTTATCCCAGTTAATTACTAGCTAGCTTTATAATACGTAGAAGATATGATAAGCTTAATACAAAGAAGACAAGGGATAAGCTTAATAGAAAACGAGAAATAAGGTAAAAACAAAGGTGAGAGATAAGATTAATACATGAGGGATAAGCTTAAAAGATGATAGAAAAAATTAATACAATGAAGACAAGAGAAGAGAAGAAGCGATATAATGTTAATACATATATCACCAGGGATAAGGTTAAAATATAAAAATGGAGAGATAAAGATGGGAAGAGGATCAAGGGATGAACAGGATGACAGAAAATGCTCTCAACCTCACTGATGCATTACAGAGAAGCGCCAGCATCACCGACGTGGGCCGTGTGTCTTCCTCATGCACCTTCACCTGTCTTCGCCATCCACAAGGTGAGGTTATCTGGACAGACGCCACTGACCTCACTTTCTCATTCGTGGGCCGCTATTACTGCACCAATTACTTCGACTTCCTCAACGGGAGAGTCGAAGCGTAGACGGGATTCGCCTGTTTCCATCCACGGACACCACCTTATTTTCGAGTGCCTATGTGAATTTATGAATAGGATTAGCTTCAGGTACTTCGTTATGTTTGCTTGTTGTTGGGGGAAGGAAAGGGAGATGGAAATGTTAGTTTTCATAATTATAGTTAGATGGTTGAAGTAAAGACAGAGTAAGCTTAGGCTTATAAGAAGGAGGTAGAGAGAGAGAGAGAGAGAGAGAGAGAGAGAGAGAGAGAGAGAGAGAGAGAGAGAGAGAGAGAGAGAGAGAGAGAGAGAGAGAGAGAGAGAGAGAGAAAGAGAGAGTACATCGTTATCCAGCCGCCATACTTTACATCTCTTCATCTGAGGTTGTTCCTCCTTGTCCACCCACCAGACACGTTATCTTGTGTTACTCTGTTATCTCCCTCATCTGAAACAGCTTCCTTCGCTCTTTAATACATTTCAGTTCAGTTTGTTCCAGCAGAGAAAAATAACCATTTAACAATCTCCATTAAGATACACTGTCAATCAAATACATTGGCAAACGTAATGGGGAACAATAATTTTTAAATCATCTCATATTTTTACTATTTTCTGTAGCATAAAATCGGCCATAAGGTTATCAGTGATTCATTGCAATGCTTCTTCAGTATTCAACTCTTCTTCCTCCTCCTCCTCCTCCTCACCTGCGTCTTAACATCCCCAGGGAGATTGGGCCCCTCACATCATTATTCGGATCCCGGCTCCGTTATCTTCATTTCCAGACCCCCTCAACAGGCAGGCGTCTCCCTCCCCATCTACACCTCCGACACAAAATGCGCATTTTCTTTTAATCCTCTCCACGAAGTCTTTATCAGCTGATTGCTGCAGGTGGAGATCTTTTTCCACGCTCCAGTTCTCTTGATACGTTTTCACCCTTGTCAACATTTTGATTTTCTCCCCACACGGTCTCAACACCTTCAACATTCTATCGTTTTTCTTTGATGCATCATAATTTGCCATTTATCTAAGTCAACCCCATCGGAGATTGAGTTTCCTGGCGGGTACCTGCATCCGGGCTATCCATCAGCTGTCCAGTACATCATCTGCGTCTCTACCAGCCTCCCTCATCGACACCCCAGTGTCAGACAAGTACACCTCAGAGCTATCCCTCTTCCGTCTTGGGTTCATCTCCTTAAACGTCCCGATGACCTTGAGGGTCGGGCCAAAACTTAAAGGCCTCTGCCGAATAAGGTCCTAGCATATTTACCGCTGGATACTGACGTGTTTGTCTTGTCTCGTGAAGCTCCACTCATCAGGTGTGCATCACTGTGAGGGCATCATGAAGCTCCACTCATCAGGTGTGCATCACTGTGTGGGCATCTTGAAGCTCTACTCATCAAGTATACATCACTGTGAGGGCATCATGAAGCTCCACTCATCACTCGGAATGCCTCATGACTCATTTCACACTCCCAAATCACAGGGAGGAGGATATACACTTCCCAGACACCTAACAACTGCCGCACTCTATCCTGTAGTACTCTGCAAGCTGACATTAATATGGAGCTCAATATCACTCATCGCTTCTCAAACTCCATTCTTGGTATTATTTCATGTTTGTTCTTATCTCAACTACATACTTAAAAGCAGCATGATATAAAATATTTTGAGATTTTGAAAGAAAAATACGTATTTTTAAGTCCCCAAATATTATGCAGTGTTTGTTATATACGGTTTAATATGAACACATCAAACCAGAATTTTATTGTCCTTTAATGTATGTGAGAGGAATGCAAGTTTACCAAGATTATCTGAGTTAACTAGTTTTGTTAATAACAATAAATTCTTCATTATCTTTAAATTACAGACATACGGCAGGCGTTCATTAAGACACATAAACACTTTGTGACAGTATAACGTAGATTGCAATTTGCAGAGGAAGGGTATAATTCAACCAGACGTTTTGATGAAGCGTTTGCAGTACAATCTTTTCTTCATTTTGTCGAGTGGATGCGAGTCTGTATTCATATTTTTTTTTTAAACGTGATGCTCTTTTCCACGGAAATAAGTATTTACGGGGACAAAAGAGAGTGCAAAAATTATAGGGGAATAAATCTGTTGAGTATACCTGGTAAAGTGCGTGGTAGAGTTATTATTGAAAGAATTAAGAGTAAGACGGAGAGTAGGATAGCAGATGAACAAGGAGGCTTTAGGAAGGATAGGGGGTGTGTAGACCAAGTGTTTACAGTAAAACATATAGGTTTATGGATTAGTACAAGGCGTATGACAGGGTGGATAGGGGAAGTGAGCAATGTGGCAGATGTTGCAAATGTATGGAATAGGAGGCAGGTTACTGAGAGTAGTGAAGGGTTTTTACGAGGATAGTGAGGCTCAGGTTAGAGTATGTAGGAGAGAGGGAGAATATTTCCCAGTAAAAGTAGGCCTTAGACAAGGACGTGTGATGCCACTATGGTTGTTCAATATATCTATAGATGGGGTTGTAAGAGAAGTACATGCTCAGGTGTTCACAAGAGGTTTGGGGTTAAAGCATAAAGAATCTAATACAAAGTGGGAGTTGTCACAGTTTCTCTGTGCTGATGACACTGTGCTTTTGGGAGATTCTGAAGAGAAGTTGCAGAGGTTGGTGAATGGGTTTGGTAGGGTATGTAAAAGAAGAAAATTAAAAGTGAATATAGGAAAGAGTAAGATGATGAAGATAACAAAAAAATTAGGTAACTAAAGATTGGATATCAGATTGGAGGGAGAGAGTGTGGAGGAGGTGAATGTATTCTGATATTTAGAAGTGGACGTGTAAGCAGATGGGTCTATGAACGATGAGGTGAATTATAGAATTGATGAGGGGAAAAAGGTGAGTTGTAAACTGAGGAGTCTATGGAGACAAAGAACTTTGTCCATGGAAGCAAAGAGGGGAATGTATGAGAGTATAGTTATATTAACGCTTTTATATGGGCGTGAAGCATGGATGGTGAATGTTGCAACAAGGAGAAGGCTGGAGGCAGTGGAGATGTTATGTCTGAAAGCAATGTGTGGTGTGAATATAATGCAGAGAATTCGTAGCTTGGAAATTAGGAGGAGGTGCAAGGATTACCAACACTATTATCCAGAGGCCTGAGGAGGGGTTGTTGAGGTGGTTCGGACATGTAGAGAGGGTGAAACAAAATAGAATGACTTCGAGAGTGTATAAATCTGTAGTGGAAGGAAGGCGGGGTAGGGGTCGGCCTAGGAAAGGTTGAAGGGAGGGGGGTAAAGGAGGTTTTGTGTGAGAGTGGCTTGGACATCCAGCAAGCATGCTTGAGCGTGTTAGATAACAGCGAATGGAGGCAAATAGCTTTTAGGTCTCGACGTGCTGTTGGAGTATGAGCAAGGTAACATTTATGAAGGGATTCAGGGAAACCGGCAGGCCGGACTTGAGCGCTGGAGATTGGAAGTACAGTGCCTGCACTCTGAAGGAGGGGTGTTAATGTTGCAGATTTATAACTGTAGTGTAAGCACGCCTCTGGCAAGATAGTGATGGAGTGAATGATGGTGAAAGTTTTTTCTTCGGGTCACCGTACCATGTTGGGAGACTGCCGATGTGTTAATAAAATAATATATATATATAATATATATATATATATATATATATTATATATATATATATATATATATATATATTATATATATATATATAATATATAATATATATGTATGTATTTACCCATCAACATGTACAAGAGTTGAAGCGTAGCTCACACAAGACTATGAAGCCTGTCAGTGTTGTCACAATTATTGTTTGGATATGTTCTCACGTCACGTTGAAGTCTCCGAATATTTCGCATGAACTGTTACTGCCATTGTTCACTGATATAACTCTGGTTTTATTATGTCTTTCAGCGTTATTCTCGAGATGTACAATACTCAGTATTTGCAAGTGTGATCGTATATATATATTATATATATATATATATATATATATATATATATATATATATATATATATATATATATATATATATATATATATATATATATATATATATATATATTATATATATATATATATATATATATATATATATATCCAAAACAACCACTCTGAAAGAATAGAGAAATTCCCAGCGCTTTCGTGACTACTCATTATTCCTTGATAATGTGAGTAGTCACGAAAGCGCTTGGAATTTCTCTATTCTTTCAGAGTGGTTGTTTTGCATATTCTGAAATCACCTGTTT